GGAGCCCTGCCCGTCTCGCGTGGGGGCGCGGGGGAGGCGTTTTACGGGGGTGAAGCTCGAGGTGGTGCTTCGGGCATGCACCTTCCCGTGTCCGTGATGCCCCGTGGAAACCTTCCCCCCCGCCCCGTGGGGTCTGTGTTCCCTCTCGTGGGCTGCCGGGCGGCTTTCTGGTGGGGCGGGAGGCAGGTTCGTGCTCTGGGATCTCTCCCCTTTTCTGAGAAGGGCGCTAGCGGCCTCGCGCCCCCGGCAGGGCCCCGGCGCTTCGTTGGTGCCTCTGCCCCGCGTTCGTGGGCACCCTCCAGAGGCTGCCACCTGGACTGTACTGCGTTTTAAAGGAAGGTGTTGTCCTTCGGACAGCTGTGACTCCCCTACAGCTTTGGCGGCATAACTCTCTTCGCGCGCCTTGATGGAGCGATTTTGTTATTCTGCGTTTGTCACCTGAGATGCTCCCGCGGTTTGGGAGGAAGAAGGTGATTGCGGTTTACCTTGCGATGTTTGTACGAAACGGCGTTTGTCGTCTGCCGAGGTAGGCTGTTATTTATGTAGCAGCCCCCGCGGCGCTCCTTACGGAAGGTGGGTAGGTGTTAACAGGCTGGCTGTCAGGTGCTTGGTTAGGCAGCGCGCTTATGTGATGTGGTGTTTGCAGAGCTGGCGGGTCGAGGGAGGCTGTGCAGCACGGATCTCCTCTCCTGGAATCGCTCTGCTGTATTCGCAGCGCTTTTCTGTAATTGGCCTTTTTGCAATTCTGAAGATCCTGCCCTGTGGTGGAACCCCAAGATTTACCTGAGTTACCCTGTGCCGTTAGCTGCCAGGCCAGTTCAGGGTAAGTTATAGCTCCCCTTGCTGAAAGGGCTTGTGCTACCGTGGCATTCGGTCAACAGGTCCCAGAAGCCAATATCACCGTTGATAACGAAATTTTGTTAATGAAGGGACTCTCCGTGCAGTTAATTTACTCTGTATTTTTAAAAACAAAACCAACTCCAACAAACGGTGTCTGTTTGGAGAACTTGCTTCAATTCCTTCAGGTCGCATTTACCACTGCGAGAACCCAGTGTGCTCCTGTTTCCTGATGGGAGCTGCCTCTAGGGAAAGCTTGCCCTGGTCATGTCGCAGCTCTCTTTCCCCAAATAGCTGTCTGAAAGGCTCGTGTGAAGTTACAGTGTGGTGCTCTGCTTTACAGATGAATTTTTTTCCTGTCGCTAAGGTCCCTTTACGTTCCAGGCTTTGAAATATGGGTCAAAATGGTACACTTGCCTGTTTCAGGCTAAGTGCGTTCACCTTGATGTGCCCATCCTGGGGTCGTGCAGTGCTGAAACCAAGTTTTGGCTGTAGTCTAAAACGTTGCTCCGGCTCCTGCTCCCTGTCGGTGAAATGAGGATCCTGTGCTGCCAAGAGCAGTTCACTCATCCCTTGAAGGAAGTGATGGCTTCAGCTCATGCATGTTCTCACAGGTTGCTTAAGCTGACTGAGCAAATATGACAAAGCTGAAACGTAGGTAGGCTTCAAAATAAGAGCATTGCATTTGCAGGTGGGAGCTCAAATTTATGCATGGGGGAAGCAGCATCTGTTGGTGCCGTAACGATAGAGTCTGATGTGTTGCTGGGCCCACACACGTAGGGTGCCACATCCCCTCTTGATTATTTTTAATCCTAAGCATCTGTGACTGGGACCCCTCAGCCTGAGTGGTGAATTCCTGTTGCCACGATATGAGAGAGGAACTCTCATAATACCTTCCTAGCCCAAAACTTTTGGGTGCAAGTGGGATTGTGAGGCTGACTTTAAAAATCAGCCTTTGTACCAATTGGTGAGGTGTGGTGGAACAGCAAATCTGAACGCAATGAACTGCTGAAGAGAGCAAATCGGGAGATGTGCGTGGTCCCTGAATCAGGATGTGCGTTTGGGCAGGAAAAAGGAATTTGTTCTCTCAAATCCTGTCCCCTTCTGAACGTTACGGGAAGACATGTGCAGGAGGATGAGTCCTTCAGTGTGAATCAGAACAGGTAGCAGAGCACTCCTGCTTTCCGCTCTGTCTGCAGCCTTCACCTCCTTGTGCAGGTCGGAAGGGCCAACCCGCCCGGACGTGGCGTATAGGGGAGGCCAGAGTCTGTTTCAATGTTATTGTCCTCCTTGAATAGGCTGTCATCAGATGACTGCAAAAACAGCATCCTCTGAATCAGCAATAGATCCGACTTTCCATGTGGATGAGATACTCCAGGTAGTTGCAGGTGATACAGAAGTTTTGAGCTGCTACTTCTGATTGAGCATAGTGCTTTGGATCCTTCCTGGAGCCGAGAGGGCTTTCCCACCCCAGCTGGCATGAGCAGGGACTCTGCCTGCTGTTTTCCAAGGCAGGGTTCAACATACTGGTGGACTGGCCGCTTACTTCATCGCGGGAAGGTATACGGATGCTTGGAAGAGAAGTAGGATCTGAAGCTACATAGGAACCTGGCAGTTGATGCGAACCTGCTTTGGATCAATGGCAGTGATGTGAGAGTTGTCCCAAAGCAAAGCTGCAGAGCTGCGTAGCAGCCTGTATTTTAGAGGTGTGTGCTTGTGTCCTAAGGTCTGGAAACGTGTGTGTGAAATGGCGGATGCTTATTGACGCGATGGGTTTTTTCTGTGTTTGCAGAGGAACCTTTTAGAGGAAGATTCAGATGAAGAGGAAGACTTTTTCTTGTGAGTTTCTGCATGGGTGTTGTAGGGAATGGGATGTCTTAACTAACTAAAGATCTGAGACTGCAGGTGCTGAAAACCAAAACCTGCTCCTTGCCAAACAGGTGAGGGCTTACTGTTATCAAAGCCTTTGATTCCTTGGAGATAATCTCCCAGAGCCTTGGCAGCAAGCATGAATGAAGACTTTGCAGGTGTGACCTGTGTAAAACTGGGGCACCCCACATATTAAGATATGGGAGGGACTGATGAGGGGCATGAGAACAAGCCTCCTTCCACAAGGCATTGGTTCTCTTTGGCCGATCTTTGAGTTCTCTGGTTTAAATATATGTTTTCATTGCATCTTCCCTTATTATTGCTCTCTTTTTGCTTACAGGAGAGGGCCGTCCGGACCGAGATTTGGACCCAGGAATGACAAAATCAGGCAGTAAGTTCTTGTTCCGCAGTGTCACATGGATAATATTTTATTCTGACATTACAAGCTCCTGCTGCTCTCTTACTGGAGTATGCCTGTGTAGTTCCGAGTATGAGCATGGCTTGTGCTTTGTTTCTCCTCCTTGTGGTTTCCTGCCCTACCTGTCTTCAGCTAAGGGAAATCCCAAATTTGATTCAAGCTATCCAGGAATTGTGCATTAATACAAGCAAAGGGATAGGATTGCAGCACAGTAGCGCTGTGGAGTTTCCGAAGCCCATGCTATATTCTGGTGCTAAATTCTGGTGCTAAACTATTTCGTGTTTTTAACCAGTCTTTCTGGAGCATTAACCCTGAATTTTAAACTTGGGCTAGCTCACTGCTCATCTACCCTTTGTTTTTATTGTTTCATTGCTTCTTCCTTCACTCTGGAACTCCATCCTCAATGTTTCAAGAAAATGAGCAGTCAGGAATAGGTAAGGACTGTTTTTCTCGGGCAGCTGCTGGTCTTCTGGCCTCTTCTCCTCTAGGAGAAAACTTTATCTGGATGACTTGGAGATGAGCAATGACTCAATGGGGTCAAAGCAGCTGGACAAACAGGAAACCATTACAGCTGGAGGAGGATTACTGGCTGCAACAGAGTAAGAGAGGAGAAACAAACACCCTGGTAATAGGGCAAGAAGGAAGGAGGAAACACCTTGGATCCTTCTCCCAGCAAGTCATTTCCTGGATGGTGCTTGTGCTGAGCTCCAGTTTGCCCCACAGTTTCCTATTAGGAAAGTGATGGTGGCCCTTAGTGGAAGGGAGAGGATATTCACAGACCCCTGGGTTGCTGAACCTTGCTTGTGCTATGCTGATTCCTTTGCCTGCAGCCCCAGTGCCAAAATAGAAATCTGTGGGAAACTGATGACCAGGTGCTTAACAGATTGGGTCATTTTGCTTGCAGCCTTGGAGTCGCTCTTCATTGGGATTTTTTTTCACGCCAGGAAGAAGCCCAAACAGCTCTGGAATGACTCATTGCCAACGTCAGCTATAGGCAATGCTTGGTCGTGTGCCTGCTTACCATGTTATCTTGAGTCACAAGGTGCACTTGAGTTACAGAGGAGACAGGGCGGTGGTCACTCTGCCCTGAGTTTACAGGGGGTCTCTGCTCCCTCTGGTGCGGTAGGATGCTGTTAGTAGAGCCAAACTCTTTGTTATAGCAAGCTGGTGTGGAGAAAGCTTCCTTTCTAGTGCAGTGCCACACTGCTCTATTGTCAGCTGTGAGAGTGGTGTTCCCTCCCCTTCCCACCCCCCCTGCAACCAAGTGGAGAGGGGGTAATGCCTACCCCTTAGTCCTCCTGTTCCAGAGAAGGATCACAGAGTGTCTTCTGTCTTCCCTGCGTGGTGGAGGAAAACAAGAGCTCTTCTCTTCTCGCTTTCTTGGCCAGCCAGAAGGGAGCAGGGCCTTGGGTAGAGGAGTCATGGGAGTTTGTGGGAGCCAAGGAAGAGTGTGTTTTCCAGGTGGCAGAGGATAGCACAACATCTATGAAGGGGAAGTAACATGAAAGAAGAACTAATCCAGGAGCTCATAGGTTGTACAGCTAGTTCATAGGTGTGATGTGACTAACATCCAACATATATGAGCTTTGGCGGTTGCCTGTCCAGCCATATAATTGTCTGGACCTGCTTTAAGGAATGTTCCTAAACCTTCCCTTGGGGGAACAAGCGGCTACATGTATCTAGGCTCTCCAGGCCATATGCAGTAGTATCTATTTTCTACTTTCATCAGAGGTGGTTGGCACTTGCAGTATGTAGTGGTCACTTCTTGTCAAGTAGCTTATTATTACGTTTCTGATCAGACTGACCTTTGTGCTGGATGGGGTGATGCCTGGTCTCATAATGGTACAGATCTCTCTTGTTTCAGCAGAGGAGAGAGTGTTGGGTTGCTGCTGAAGTACTACAAAGAAAATACGTTTCAAGGAGAAATTTGAGTATTTGGAGAGCTGAGGCATAGTTGGGCAAAGCTAGAGAGACTGGAGCTGTACAAGGCTGGAGGGAATAACGTGAAGATAGGTGCAAAAGGGGACTGGGCAGAGGAAGAGGTGATGGGAGCGTGACAGCAAAGGTGTGGAGCATATTCAGTTTGAGAGGTAAGACTGAAAACTTTTTCTTGCTGTTCTTGGCAGCAAAGCTGTGCAGAGACCCTCAGGGCTGGCTCAGCTGCAGGAAGCGATTGTTGAGAATACTGCAGACTTTGGAGGGGAAAGAGAGGAGCTAGAGCCGGTGATAATCGTAGGAAGTGTGACAGTCCCCTCTGTAACATCTTTTGCGCTGATATGCCTGGAGGGTCAGGCTCTGTTGTCCCAACAGCTGCTCAGTTGGACTGGAAGCTCCCATGTAACTAAGTGGGGTCCCTTAGCCTCTCTGATGTCTCCCCATCCCTGGCGCTATTCGGGTTGGAGCTGAAAGGTATTTTTTATCAGGGTTTTATCCTTTTCCCCAAACAGGGGAAAACAAACAGCTCTAACAAACAGGTTAAAAAAACAAAAGAGCTGATCTCTCTTCTTCTCTGCCACTGCTTAGAGGCCTTATGAGAGGTCCTGACTGTGTGTAGTGAGAGCTGTCAGTGCGTTTGCTGGCGAAGTGGGAAGTTTGTCTTCCACCTGAGTTTCTTTTACTTAGAGTAGGAGTCTGTCATCGCAGGATCGCAGGTCATCTTTTCTGCACTATTACCAAAATCTCTCCCTTTTCTGCACTGCTTGAGTTCCTGGAGAGCATGTTCGCCACTGACCTGTCCCCTTTCAGGTGACCGTGCTGCTGGATTAGCATGCCTGCTTGTGCTGGAGATGCAGCTCAGCACACTGGTGCGGTGTACCCGCCGCCAGATCTCGGTCCTTGCGACTTCTCTGTCGTGCTGCTCAGGGTGGCCGGGTGCCCAACCCTGCCTCCACTTGCTCTGGGTACAAGTTGCAAGCTACTGAGAAGGGGCAGAGTTTGAGGAATGGCTCAAGGCAAGAGTTGAGGGCTGCTTTCCAGGGCCCGGCTGCCCATTGCAGGAGGATGGGTGTGCTGTGGGTCCTGTAGTCCAGGCTTTCATTTAGAGATGATGCTGAGACTGTGTTGCTGGGCGTCATTGCTGGATATTATCCTTTCAAGGATGAGGAAGCCTCAGGGGAGGCACAAACTGCTTCGTTCCTCACAGCTGTGTTGAAGCAGCGACTTAAAAGCTGTGACTCGTGGCACAGCTCAGCATCGATACCGTCGTCGACTTTAGCGGAGATGCCCATGGGGCAGCGTCTCTGCAGACGGCCGTGCCCCAGTGAGCGACTGGAGGTTGTGCTGTTCCTGCTGCAGCTGCGCCGGCCTCCTGCCTTCGTGCTAGCTGCGCAGCTTGGCTCTGTCTCCCGTTCCCTTTTTTCTGGATTACTGCCACAACAAGGGGTGTTTAGGTGTAACTTTCCCCAAAATACACAGAGCACTATTAATGGCAATGCGTAGCCTGGGATGGAAAATAGAAGTGTGTCACGCTGTTTCCAAGCAGCCAATTTAGAGATAGCAGCAAGTCTTGAGCAACAGGTCCTGCAGGGTGCCGTGGCCTGGTTGTGGTGTTTGAAGCATGCCGCGCTGTTGTTAGCCCCACAGCAGGACCGGCACATGGAGTTTCTCAGTAGTTGACCCAGTGGGGCCGAAACGGGAAGGCTTATTCCTCCTGCTCTGAACCAGGCAAGGCACACGACAGCAAAGACGAAACCAAGTTAAACGCCAGTGGATCTCTTGTTGTTGCTTTGACTGGCGTGCAGTTACTGTCCTTCTTAAAAGCCGCGTATCTGCTCGTTACTATGGAGCAGGGTTTACGGAGACGTACTTTATGCTTTTGTCTTACTCCCTTTCTTGGCAGGTGTTTATTCTACTTTATTTCTCTTGGAAATCTGGCAGAGTACAGATGTGGGAGTGAAATACGTGAAATGTATATGCCAGAAGCCAACAGCTCCCTGCAGCAAGTGTGCCTCTTATTAGAGGATTCATTCTTTCTTGCCAAATGAAATGAGGAAGTGTTTTGTTCTTGATGTGACTTGAGTTTCCAACCTCGAGCATGCAAAACTAGTAGGAATTGTTGAGTTTGCTCTGAGAGAGCACGGCTAACGCGCAGATCTTTCAGCCCTTTCTCAGAGAGGCGTTTCTTGCAGGAGCGATGGATGAGGGAGAGCAGAAAGCGCAGCCTGGCTACCGGTGGCTGAGGCACTGTGTGGGACCCCGGAGACCAGAGTTCAGCTCCCTGGCTCAGTCCTCTCCTTCCTGCTTATTCCTGGGTTCTCCCTTAGTTCGATACCAAGGATACCAAGGGTATTTGGGTGCTCAACTGACTCTGCTCTCAGTGGAAGTTAAACACCTCGGCATCTATGAGGGTTCGGGCCTTGATTTCTCCAGGTCTCTGCTCCCTATCTCTGAAATGCTTCATTTTTCTTTGCTGGGGACTAACAGCATGACCAGGCCACAGATAAATAGCGAAGGCGCATGGTGTTTGGCGTGCAGCTCCCAGCTCAACTGAAAAGAGGTGGGATGCTGAGATGCAACTTGTGCAGTGTGATCTGAGCTCCACAGAGTCTCCTAAATACTGCTACACAGCAGAGCAGCTTTAAGTTACCCGCTTACCCCAATTTGCCTCTAATGTTTTGGGGTACCTTGGACTGCAGCAGCATCACTGCAGCCTCTGAACTGTGCTGGGTGGGGACACCAGTAGCATTGCATTGCGCTGCATTTTCCTGCATGTGTTGCATCCTTGTGTGCTTCCACTTGTTAGTCGCACCAAGAAGCTTGGTTACGAATCTGTTGTGGGAGGAAATCTTTATTTTGAAGCCAGTAAATGGTTTTAGAAATACTTGCATCCCGAAAACGTAGTCTTCTGCCTATAAAACTGATGTTAAGGCCTTGGAGTTTTTGCCAAGTTAGCTCGTGTGGGAAAGCAGATGTTTCTGCTTTTCCTCTCTCGCCCTAAGCGTGGCAGCTGTAGCCGAGTTGCTTGCAGTTCTGAGCTTGACTTGCCCGTTGCGCCTAGGTAAGGAGCTTCCCTGGCAGAGCGTGCCTCCTTTCTGCCAAGGCGCTCGCAGCTCGAGGGAGGGGGCGAGGGGCTATGTACATCCCACGTGGGACTGGCGCCTTTGCCCCTCCAGCTGGCAGGGATAAAACATGCTTCCTGGGCAGCAAGTGGTTCCTCGATGCCACCTTCATCTTCTGCGTGTGCTGGACAGTGGCAGCTCTGCCACTCGCCTCTTACCTGGTAAAACGAATGGCAGACTGAAAAAATTTCTTGGTCGCAAGACAAGTTTCTGCTGAGAGATGCTTGGGGGTTACCCAGGCCTTTCCCCATGCAGATAAGAAACTCCTGACAAGCGACCACCTGTGAGGTGGAAGGCAGGAACAGCCCCTGCGCATCCCAGCTGGGTGTGCGGAGACCCACTGCTCCCTCGGGTGGTCTGACACAGCACGGGAAAGGCCAGGTTCTTTTTTATGCCGTCGTAAATAAAGCAAGTGCGCTGCTGGAGTCCAGCATGTGCCATATGAGGGCTGTTGAGTCAGAAATTGGCTTCAGAGGGTTTGTCTGACTTGTCCAACTCCAGAAGCCGCAGTGCAGTGGCTCTATAAAGCCTGACCTGAAGTGCCAAGCTGGGAAGCCCCTCCATATTGCTGCCTTCCCAGCTCTTGGGAAGGAGAAAAGCAAGGAAGGACACTAGAAGAAAAGGTTTGTTTTTGGAATGATAAGTAAATGCGTGCAAGGCATAAGCTTTCCCACTGAAACCACTAGTGGTCGTTGCAGCCGCTCCTCACGCGTGTCTCTCTGTACAAGTGACTGCTCAGTGAGAGGCTGTGAGGGAGGCAGAAGAAAGAGGCGTCGTGGCTCGTGGTGAGAGCAGTGGGATGGGGTCCTGTTCCTAGATCTGCAGCTGCCCTTTTGACTGGCCTTGGGCAAGTTGCTCCGACTCATTTGGCCTCGGCTTCCCGGGCTGTGACAGGTTATGCTGTCTCTACTTACCAAGTGCTCTGGGATTAGGTGCTGGATGACGGCTGCCTGTGTGGTAGTGTCGGGTGTGGTGCTAACTCTAAAGACCCTGATTTGGCAAATAGCATCTCTGATTTCTGCATCTGTGAGATGCTGATGGGGAGAAGATCTCCTCAGTGGGTCCAGAGAGGATGAAGAGGTTATCACTGGGTAATCTGGGGAGCAGGAGAGTGTGGATACTAGGCAGGCGCGAATGACGAGGTGGAAGCAATCCTGCTTTCCCTTGGGGACGCCAGTGGTGCGCTGTTAATAGGAGGTGCCTATTTCCAGTAACGTGGGGGGGAACTGCTGAAGTGGCCTAGCCATGCTGCGTATTTTGTAAATGCTAGATGCGCTTCAGTATTTTTAAAGTAATTACGTGTGTTTAATCAATGCAACCTCAGAAGTCAAACATCAGACGTTACGCAGAGCAAGTGTCCTGGGGTTATTTTCTGTGTCATGGCCCTGTGTATAGCATTGCCTCCAAGACGTTGCTGCTGCCGTTTACTTTTTGGTATGTCTCAAACAATGTATCATCTCCCTAGGGCTCCAAGAAATTTCTTATTTCTATCTCCAGGAAAATAAGTGTTTTAGCTCCAAAATACAAACCAGAATGTAGCAGTATTTTTCCACCAGCAGAGTTCTTCTCTCTTACCAATGTGGCTTTTTTATGGAGTGAATAAATGCATTTATAATAACCCTGCGGGTGTGATTTAGGCTACTGTTCACTGACATGACTACCCACAGAGTTGCATAACCTGTAAGAAGTTGGATTATAATAGTTCAGTTTAGTTCATATCAGCTGTTTCTTTACTGTCCCTTTGATAGCCCTGGCAGACTGTGTTTCATTTGGCAACTCAGTTCCTGGAGGTGAGGAGCATATCTCCCTTTGGTCTCGCTCCAAGTTATTCAGCAGAAGTGTGGTGCTGAGTTCTGGCATATTTGGAAAGAGGAGGCATGATTTCCCCTTCGATGTGGGCTCTTCTACAGCAGAGGTGCCCACCAACATCCGTCTGCCTTTTCTTACGACCTTGGCGTGTTAAAGGTTCCACCGCTCTCCCGAGTACCGTAACGTCCCAGCCCAGCATTAAAGCTGTTTAAACTCCCAGAGAGATGCATGCTTGGGATGGTGGTTCCTGCACTCATCATGCTTTTGGATCACCATGCCTGCCCCTTGACAGGAGGGTGCCCAAATTCTGCTGACTTTCCAGTGCTCTCTTTGAGCCCATTGTGTTCCCTCACCCTGCCTGGGATTGCCAGAGATTAGCCCTGCCCAGTGCTGCATTGGGGGAGACAAGCCACTAGCTTTCTCAGGAACCTCCCTCCGCTTTTGTCCCCTTTGATCTCGTAGGTGAGCTCCCTGCATCCTGGCAGCCTGTGGGCAGCTCTGCGCGAGGGCTGGTGCTGCAACGTGCACTCGGTGGTGCTTGCTTCCTGCCCCTCACTCTGGCTTTGCTTTGCTCTAGTGTCCAGAACCAGGTGGACGAAGTCATTGACGTTATGCAGGAGAACATCACAAAGGTGATCGAGAGAGGTGAGCGGCTGGATGACCTGCAGGATAAATCAGGTGCGATGCCAAATGCAGTTCCCATCTGTCTATCTTTTCCCCCAGCATCTCTTCCCCTTTGCTGGGCAGGGTTACCAGGTTCCAATTCAGAGAGTGCCTGAAGGCAGACTTGGCCCTGTTCCATAAGGGCTTTTCTTTCCATCCTTCCTAAGAATAGTGGTTCCCAGCCTTGAGCAGATCTAGCTTTCTGCCTACGTTTTCCTCTTTCCACTTTTACCTTCTGCTGCTCTGCACAGCCCCAGCCCAAGTTCACTGGTGCCTATAAGTTGCTGGTTGGTGCCTCACCTTGGCTTGGTTACTCAGCTGCTGGGGTCTGGGTATCTGGTCACCCCTCAGCAATGGATCCCTCCTCTGTCACTGCAACTGTCCTTCAACCTCCTCTCGTGTATGCAGCCGCCAGCTGGTATTGAGCTGTCCTGATTCACATGTGGTCTCAGTCGAGCCCAGTGGACTGTTACTGCAGTGATATGGGACCAATCTTATAAGAGATTTGGGCATGTAAATGCCAAGGGCTTAGTATGGAGGTGTTTGGATGCTGTGCTCTAGTTGGCCGTTGACCTAGCCTAGACTGGTCTGACTCACAACGGCGCTGAGCACTTCAGCTGTCTGTTTGCTCTGTGGCTTGCGAAGTGCAGTCCCTTCCTCAGAGGGCAGCCGGTGCAAAGGGGGCTCGGTGGGACTCCGCAGCCTTGTGTGTGCTCTCAAGCAAAGGGTGTTGGAATCTGCCATGGCTTCGGTGAATCACGCTGTGGCTGGGTCTCCTCCCCTGTTGCTAAGTTTATCGCTTGAAACTAAGTGGAGTTAGTGGAACAAGTGGATGCTTTGTGTGTGCGCTGCTGAATTGCCTCTTTTCTTTTTTTTTTTTTCCTTTTCAACAGAAAGTTTATCAGACAATGCAACAGCTTTTAGCAACAGAGCCAAACAGCTTCGAAGACAGATGTGGTGGCGAGGCTGCAAGGTGAGTGGGAACTGGAACAGGCAGGAGTGGGCTTTTTCATGCAGATCTGTCAGTCCTGGGCTGAACAACAGGGTCACTTCAGGTGCCAGGAAAAAAAAGGGAGCGAATAAGGTGAAGGAAGTGCCTGTCCTGCCTGTGGGTTTGCCTGTAACAGTGTGAACAGGGCAGGCTCAGTGTGTTGGAGGTGCCCCTAGAGATGGTCCGTGAAGCTGGTGTGGGAGCTGGGTGGAGGCAGTTCTCCGGGAAGCCAGGGTCCAGTTAGCTGACCTGGACGCTGGCCCTGTGAGATGAGGAACAGAGAGATGCTATGTTCCTGGCAGGGCAATTCCAGGCTGTCCTCCCTCCTGGCCTGCTTGCCCATGATCCTGCAGGGAGAGCATTTTGGCTCCAAGTTGGCAGGACCCCTCTTTCCACTCTGTTCTGATGAACCCGGGTCTGCCCGGGCCAGGGCATCCCCTCGGCAGGGTCATGAAGGAGTTGCAGCATCTTTTGGGATCTTCTGGGTCAGTTTGTGTACGGTGATGTGCGGACGTGTTTGCCTGCCCTGTTTGTCACGGGAAATAGCTGGCTGCTTGAAATCAGGTACTGCTGGGGCCTCTGGTCTGTTACAGGTCATCTGCGCTCTAGGATGCAGGGGTGGTTACCTGGCCTTCCCCACTAGGGAAAGGAGAAGCTCTGCTTTCTATCTGAACAGATAAGCGTCTATGGGCTGGAGGCCAAAGACCTCCCATTCAGGTAGAAGCAGCTACGTGTGGCATTCCCTGTAACCCATCTTTGTGCTTCCTCTTGCAGATGAAGGCGGTCATAGCCCTGGTGGCGGTCATTCTCCTGCTTGTGATTATCAGTGAGTAGCTTCAAGTCACCCCAGCCATATCTGGCATTGAAATGTTCATGGCACTCGGCACCACGCATGATGCTATAGTGTCACTGGCCCCAGGAGGGAGAGCACCCGAGCTGTTCCTGTCGGGCCCCACGCCGTTTCAAGCAGTAATGTGTGGTGTCTGTAGCCTGAGCCATGGTTCTGCCCTGTGAAGTTTAAATGTGCACGCAGAGGAGCCAGCTGAAACCAAGTCCTACTAACTCTTGGTAAAGAAGGACAGGTAGATACTGTCAAAGCTGTGGTGATCCAGGGTTAGCACCGGCCAATGCAGAGGCCGCATGGCTTGCGGAGGGAGATGGGAGAGTTTCAGGCCAGAGCAATGTCTTGCGAAGGCCTCTGCACATACACAAACCATTTTGCAATGGGTCTGCTCCCAGCAGACGCTCCCAAAGCTGCTGGGCTGCTTAATTATCAGCAAGGAGCTGGCTTGGAGGCTCTGCTGTTGCTCCCTGCAAGTTGGTCCTTTCCTGCTTCTCCTACTTGAATAACTTATAACGACCAGAGTGTGTTTCTTCCAGCAACAAAGTAACACAGCCCTCTGCCTGCTGAATGACATGCTCCAAGGATCCAAGCAGCCCTGCATGGTAGCGCAGCTCTTCCTGTGCCAGTGGTCCTGGAGGGAGGCTTTTCTCCCATCAGCTCTGTAACCGTTCCCATGCTGCCCTTCAGCAAAACCAGCACGGCCTGTTGTGCTGCTGATACGCAGCTGGGAGCGGAAGAAGCATGGCTGACAGCAGGGTGGGAGCACTGTGGAGAGAGAGAGGCTGATGGATAGTCCCATCTGGTTTCGTTTTGGGAAGCTGGAAGTAGATGAAGGTGGAAAGGAGTGTTGTCTAGTGTTGTGCAGGCAGCAGATTGTTTTGGCTGGAGCTTGGACACATGCTTTCCCTGACAGCTGCTTGGTGTTTGTGACTAAAGAAATGTGGGGTTTTCTCTCTCTGCATTTGAAGGCGTGTGGCTGAGAGCTTTTTGTGTGTGTATGTTTTTCAGTACCCATAGTCCTGAAGTACCATTCCTGACTGGGCAGCTGGAGGCTTCAGTGGAGCTGGCTCTGGGATATCCAAACTGCTGTATAATTTAAGTGAAATATGTGTATATAGCTTTGAAGTTGTTTTTCTCAAAGGAGCGAGAAGGTGGTGGCAAGTAGCCAGTTCTAACGGAGCATTTTGAGAACTGCCAAATGACCCTTTTTTTGGTCAAGTATCTGTTCCTGCTGTTAGATCTTTTTTATAACAAAAGGTTCAGTTCCCAAACCACCCATTTTGCTGAATTCTGGGTCTCCGGTTTGGAGCTAGCTACTTGCCATTATCGTTTATCTGTATATACAGTTAAGTTGTAATGATACTTACAGTTTGAGCAGTTCCCCACTGCCTGCTGTGGAGGGCAGAGTGGACTCTGTCCTTTCCTCAGAGCAAAGGAGGGGAAAAAAATCTCTAAAGGGAAATGTACCATTATGTTACAGGGAATCGACTCTTCTGTGGAGAACTGCACGGGTGGTGTTTTTCTCATGTTCAAAAAAAAAAAAAAGAAAGAAAAAGAAACAATTAGGTTTTACAAGCCAGAAGACTGATCCTGCCATGGGAATGCATAAGCTCAGTGTTTTCAGTATTGCTGCTTACAGCTGTGACTAAAGACATTCCAGTAAACCTATTTTTGACTGTATGTGTGGAGTTCTTGCATGTCTTTGTAATGTTTTAGGGGTGTTCAGGGCTCTCCACTGTCAGGAATCCCTAGGAAAGGGCTCATTTCTTTTTAAGAAAACACTGAAAGAGAAGACGGTGTAAAACCTAGCTCTCTCGTAGACAGCCCAATGATACAGGAGATACAGCAGGAGTATGACAGCTCTCATGCCCCTTAAATCAGTTCAGGATGAAGGATGAACAGAGCCTGCTTCATATTCAGAGCCCTTCACCCTGCCGTGGTGGTCGTAGTCCTGAACGCTTCCCCCCAACAGGGGGTTGTTCCCAGACAGGTGCCTGGGATGCTTGGCGCAGTAGGACAAGTTTGTGCTCCTGCTGGACAAGCTAGACAAGCCAAGCTCCTCCATCTGCAGGTGGGACTAATACAAAGGCCAGGGGAAGGGGTGCCTCTTGGCGCAAGAGCAGAGCGACCCTCTCTCAAAAACTCCAGGCATGTCTCTGCCTGGAGAGCACTGCAGGGACCTCCTGCAGCAACACGCTTTCAGGAGCTCCCCTCTGAAGCCCTGGTCACAGTGTGGACAGCCTGAGCAAGAGGAGGCTGTGGCAGCCGTTACCTTCACTCCCGGTCTCAGGCATTTGGTGGCATTTCTGTCTGCTCGTTGTCTTTGGGGCCCTCGTTCCTTCTGGCTCTGGGACTTTAGCTGAGATCAGACACTTCTAGTTCTTTTTTTTTTTTTTTTTTTGCTATCTCTTTGAGAGATGCATTGTCCTGCTTAGCCTGTGATGTTAGCTGATATTAGTTAGTGATGTTAGAGAGGGGAAACAGTACCCCGGAGAACTCCCAGTGCCACCTCCCAGCCTCCTTGTGTGAGCCTGCCCCCAGGATCTTGTGCACAATTTCCACCTGAGTGGTGGTGCTGCTCCATGCAGAGAAGGGGATTAACAGTGAGCAGAGCAGGCTGTTAGATCTGATTACAAGCTCCACTTGCCCGGCTGGTAAGTAGACAGGGCTGTTTCCCTTGGTGGGCCCTTTTTGCTCCAGGAGGGAATCAGAAAGCCAAGCTGGGTTTTTCCTCCTAACATGTAGCCAGGTTTTACAATCCTGAAGGCAAAATAATGCACCCAGTGGAAGGGATAAAAATCCTCTCGCCTATGCCTCTGGCTACTCTCCACCTGCTGGGGATTAAGAGGGTAGATGAAGAGCGGGTGTGTCTTTCGGGGGGTTTGCGGGG